CTAAAAACTGCTATGGTACCTCCACTGAAGATTCCACATTTTCATCTTTCTCAGAACAATGATCATAATAGGAGAAAATCTGCAAAGCTATATATATATATATTTCTGGTGAGGAAGATTGGCCTTGAGCTAACATCTGTGCCAATTTTCCTCTATTTTGCATATGCGACGCCATCACAGCATGGCTCGATGAGCATTGTGTAGGTCCACACCCGGGATCCGAACCTATGAACCTTGGGCAGCCAAAGCAGAGTGCATAAACTCAACCACTATGCCCCTGCGCCGGCCCCTAAAGGTATATTTTAAAGAAACAATTTTTGGAAAAAGCACTGGAATAAGGTCAGAAGAATTGAATTCCAGGCTGGCTTTTCTTACTATGTGTCTGCGGTGATGTCATCTAAGGCTCAATTACATCATCAGTAAAATGGGGCTAATGGTAGATGCCCTTTTTACTTCACAAGGCTCTTGCAAGGGAAAAACAGATAATAGGTGGGAATTACTTTGAGCTTTTCTGAAGAAAGGCTCTGTATTACTAAAGTTTTTCAATATCGTGTTGTAATGGTGCTGACAATTATGATAAATTATATGTCTTATTTAAAATTTGTAGTTATACTTTGAGGCAAACACAAAAAGTAGACTTGTATATGAAAAAAATCACGTTTAAAAAATGGATACATTTTAATGTTGCAGGAAGATGACTTTAGAATTAGCCGGTCATCTCTTTTTTATATAAAGTGTAAGGGTGACTAAAATTTTTTTGATCGATGATTTGGCCTCTGTCATGGAATTTCTTTTCAGACCACTAGATGGCGCAATTTGAGGTCTAAAGCCTGTCAAAAGGATTTGTCAGAAGCCTAGTGATAGAGTGACCTCCCCTTTGGAAAAGGCAAAGTGAGGAACATAGAGAGAGGGAAATGTTATTAATACCTGAAGTAAGAAAATTGCCCCCTTCCAGAGGCAGAGTGTAGAGCACAGCATAAGTTCAGGAGACCTGTGCCTACATGCAGTCTCTCACTAACTGGCTCTTAGAGGACTCACTTCACTTCTCTGGGCAAGAGTTTCTTCATCTAGTCAGTTCTCTTCAAACGCATCTTCTTTTTCTCTTTCTCTCTCTTTCCTTCTCTGGAACCAGGACAGAGATCATGAGTTCTGTGGAAGCCACAGTGGATAGGTATGTAGGTAGGTACTCGAGAAGGATGATAATGGTGTTCTGTATAAGCACGTGGTCTGAGAGGGCAGCCAAATAAAGGTCACAACCATTAGGTTCTGCTCCTGATTCTGCCGTGCTTCACGAGCAGTATGTGGCCATGGTAAACTTCCTCTGACCTCGCCCCACTTCTCTATGAAACCGACTCTGTAACATTTGACACCTGCCTCCTCTGAGAAGAGTTTACAAGGATTAATGAGATAATGCTCTTGAAGGCCAGACCTTTCCATGAAAGCTGCTAACTATAAGCAAAGCATCAGTGAGTGACTACGTAACTAAAGTCTGACCCTTCATCTGTCTTAAAATGCTCTTGAATTGGGTGACATCATTCCCACATGTAAAAGATCATTTTGCTGGAGAAGGGAAAATGATTAAGAGAGGCCTTTGAAGGAAAGTGCAAAGACCAGGACACAACCCCTCCACACAAAAGATGGGTGAGGGTGATGACATATTCTCTTCATTGGTAAGAAGAAATCTTGCATGGGAGTGGAAATGGATCTTTTCCAAGTTCACTGAGGACAGGAGGAGCAGACAAGAACTTATATGACATCAGAAAGTCAAAAAGACATGAAAAATTTAGAGAAGAGGTATTTGGAAAATGGATTTTATGCATGTTTTCAGTTTTATATTAAACAGACCTGTTTCTTTTAAGCTTTTTTTATTGTGATAAGAACACTTACCATGAGATCTACCCTGTTAACAAATTTTTAAGTGTATAGTACATTATGGTTGACTATAGGTACAATGTTGTACAACAGACCTCTAGAGCTCATTCATCTTGCTTGATTGAAACTTTATGTCCATTGATTAGTAACTGCCCATATCCCCTTCCCCCAGACCCTGGCAACCACCATTCCACTCTTGGATTCTATGAATTTGACTATTTCAGATATCTCATATAAGTGGAATCATGCAGTATTTGTCCTTCAGTGACAGGCTTCAACCATGTTGTTGCATATTGCAGAATTTCCTTCTTTTTAAAGACTAAATACTATGCCACGTATATACCACATTTTCTTTATCCATTCATCTGTTAATAGACTTTAGGTTGTTTCCACATCTTGGCAATTGTGAAAATGTTGCAATGAATATAGGAGCGGTAATATCTGTTTGAGATCCTGATTTTAATTCTTTTGGATAAATACCCAGAAGTGGGATTGGTAGATCATATGGTAGTTCTTTTTTAATTTTTTGAGAAACTTCTATACTGTTTTCCATGGTGGCTGCACCAATTTACATTCCCACCAACAGCATGCAAGGGTTCCAATTTCTCCACATCCTCACCAACACTTGTCTTTTTTTTATAATAGAAATCTTGACAGGTGTGAGGTGATGTCTTATTGTGGTTTTGGTTTTCATTTCCCTGATTAGTGACTTGAGCATTTTTTCATATACTGGTTGGCCATTTGCAAGTCTTCTTTGCAGAAATATCTATTCAAGTCCTCAGCCTATTTCTTAATAGGGTTATTAGGTTTTTTTTTTTACTAGAGTTATAGGAGTTCCTTATATATTTTGGAGATTAACCCCTCATCAGATATATGGTTTGCAAATATTTTCTCCCATTCCGTAGGTTGCCTTTTTACTCTGTTGATTGTTTACCATGCAGAAGCTTTTTAGTTTAATGTAATCCCTCTTGCTTATTTTGTTTTTGTTGCCTGTGCTTTTGGTGTCATATCTATGGAATCATTGTCAAGATCAATGTCATGAAACTTTCCCCCATGTTTTGTTCTAGAAATTTTATAGTTTGGGGTCTTATATTTAAGTTTTTGATCCATTTTGAGTTGATTTTGTGTATGGTGTAAGATAAGGGTCCAATTCCATTCTTTCGCATGTGGATATCCAGTTTTCTCATCACCATTTGTTGAAGAGACTATCCTTTCCTCATTGCCATACTCAATGGTGAAAAATTGAAAGCTTTTCCTCTAAGATCAGGAACAAAGTAAGGATACCTACTCTCACCATTTCTACTCAACATAGTACTGGAAGTCCTAGCCAGAGCAATTAGGCAAGAAAAAGAAATAAAAGGCATCCAAATTGGAAAGGAAGAAGTAAAATTATCTCTTTTTGTGGCAAGTATGATTTTACATGTAGAAAACCCTAAAGACTCCACAAAAAACTGTTTAGAAATAATAAATGTTTTCATTAAAGTTGCAGGATACAAAACCAACACACAAAAATCAGCTGTATTTCTATACAGTAACAATGAACTATCCAAAAAAGAAATTAAGAAAATAATTCCTTTACAATAGCACCAAAAAGGGTAAAATACCTAGGAATAAACTTAAGTAAGGAGGTGAAAGACTTGTATACCGAAAACTACAAAACATTGATGAAAGAAATTAAATAAAACACAAAAGATGGAATGGCATCCCAGGTTCAAGGACTGAAAGACTTAATATTGTTAAAATGTCCATAGTACCCAAAGCAATATACTGATTCAATATAATCCCCATCAAAATCCCAATGGCATTTTTTTACAGAAATAGAACACAACCATCTACATTTAGATATTTTAAGTATTTAATTTCCATTAAAACAGCTAGTATTCTTATAGTATTGCCCATAGAATTGATGTAGTGAAAAATTATTTCATTTTTCAAGCTACTGTTTCAGGATCTTAGTTATATTCTGCAAATACGGAAAGAGAATTTTTTGAACCTGTTTAGTGGTGTGCTAAACTCACTACACTAGGACTGGAAGACCTGGACTTCAATTTCAACCACATGATTCACTAGCCATGATATAATGAAAATAATAATGACAATAAGTGGGAAAATCTTTCATTTGGATTGTCTTTTTGAATGTACAAAATTTTTTTTCACATATACTAGTATTAAATTTATTCTATTCTTTCCGGGGTTCAGTTTTCTTATCTGGAAAATGGGGATAATAACTGCTACTCTGCCTACTTCACAGAGACACTGTAAGAATGAAAGCCAAACAAGTGTGTAAAACTGCATTTAGAATCACAAAGCACTAGGTAGAACTATTATTGCCACTCATGTGAAGAGTCAGTATGCAATGTATAACAATATTAAGGATCAGGAGGGAAGAGAAGAATGAGACTGACTTACTGGTCAATTGTCAGAACCTGGAGGTAGCATACCTGGACCTCATAAACATCTCATATCCATGCATACTTTCTAGGTCTCCCACAAACGAACAACACAGGTTAATAACGATAGACCTGATTTAATCTGATAACGTAGCAGATTAAAGAAATTCTGGCTAAGGATGCATTGCCCGATCTCATCTTACATCTAAGAAATTTGAGCTAGTTCTGGATGATGCCAAGTTGTCTCTCATATATTAGGACTGTGAAAGTTCTTAGAGCACATATATTTGCAGGAAGCTTTATTTTTCTCTTGGGAAAACATTGCTCCGGGAATGAAATGGCTACAATATTCTCTGAGACAGCCAAAGACTACCTCCTTCCATGTGCTAATAATGATTATAGAAAGAAATTGATTTGGGGCATGCATGTTATAAGGTTGCCCTATTACATGCCCCTCCTTACCGTCTTAAAATATTTTCCCCTGTTTGGGACGTACACTCCACACACACCATGTGGTCAGAAAAATCGATAGATGCTTAAAACCCTGGAAACATTTATCTCTGTTCACAATAGCTTTATCTTTGTGCTGAAATAAAATACTTTTTGATCAGAATCCCCTCTCTTAGCACCTAAAAACAAACACAGATGGAACCTGGTTCAATCAGAGCAGAAAACCACCAAACTCAGGATGAATCAAAGATTTTCAAAACATACTGACAGAGCTAAAAATGCATTTACCTGGGCAATTATGTCTATAATTTCTGAATAACTATGGCATCTTCTCACACAAGATCGAGCCAAAAAGTCTTCCACCAGCCGTGTTCCAATGCCGTATCCCCTGTGGATGAAGGAAAGAGTGTGATCTGAAAATAATATTTGAGTAATTAGTGAAGTCTATCAATGTTTAAGAATGGATTCATCTGATTGGTACTTGCACGAGTGGATAACAAAGTAAACCAAACTCGACAAGTAAAATGGCTATTTGGCAGTGGGCTCCTTATTTATGCCACAGACCACAGAAGCAGAGAGCAATACATCCAGGAAATATTAAGTAGTCTTCTACAAGTGAAGGAGTCTGATGAGGAGTCAAGGCTGGCCCAAATTTGACAGGGTAAATTAAAGTTGAAGGAGTTTTTTGTGTGTAGCCTAATGTTTCTCATTGCCAATTAACTTGCTCATGATTAGCTGTTGACAGAAACAGAATGAGGGTCTAGCTAGCTTGTTGTCGGCTATGGGTGTGGCTCCTAGATTCTCATTCTTCTCTTAGCATAGTCACCGTGGTAGGAGAGCAGGCATGTCTGTGATGGGCTCTGGAAGGAGTGGAAGAAGGGAATAGAGAAATCAATTTTTGTTGCCAGTACAGGTGTCAGCAGTTAGAACTCTGAAGTTTAGTGAAAAGAAAAAAAGCCAAATTCAGAAAATTTATTTTTCATACCAGGGAAACTGAATCTATGGGACTTACTTGGGAGAAGGTATTTGTATTATCTGTTAGCTCCACCTCACAGCGAATAGCTTGAGCAGTACATAAAGTACAATTCTGAAAGCGTTTTATTGAGATGTGATAATACGACTGAGTATATGACTAAGATGGCTGAACGGACACCTTCAACAAGAGAGACCTAAGAACTTTCAATCTAGTTGAGGAAATATGACCTTAATGGTAGAAATAAAGAGGAATAAGACTGCTTTTGCCAAATCGCTGGCACAAAATTGGTCTTTTAATTTCACAGTCATATGTACATAGACAAGTGAAATGGCTTGAAGGGAGCAACAGAAGTCCCAACAAGATAAAGACTCCACAGTTTGTGGAAGCAATATTTGCTCCATAGGGTCTAAAAAGGGGGGAGATATTTGGTTCCTGGATGGTTGGGGGGAGATGGATTTGATGTCAGAGTGCTTATTAATTCGCTAAATCTATGAGATATTCTATTTATATTTCTGAGTGGATAGAAATATTCACTCTAGCTGACTTGCCTTTTGAGAAAAATGTTTTGTGATTCTAGCCAGGAAGTTCACGCTGAAAAGACTTTTAAAGAACAGAACATATGCTTTACAGAAATAGTTGTACCAGGATTTAAAAAATGTTTCCAGTGTTTTCTAATTTTTCTGCCTATCCACAAGCTTGGCCACTGGGAACAGCGATGGGAAGCTAGAACATTAATGGTCAGTGGAGTATATAAATATATATATATATATCTTGCTTCGGTCCAAGGGTATGTTTCTGCAAAGTAGATATTTTAATCAAATTAAAAATGTAAGATGCTCTCAGCAGAAGCTATTAAAGAAATCCAAATATGAATTATTGTTTTTCTTAAGGTGAGGCCTTTCTGCAGCCTCTCAAAATTTATTCTTTAATGTTTGATTCATATTTGTGAAAATGTGCATCCAAGTAACTAAGGTATTATTTTAGTTAAATAAATACTTCTTCATTTTCTACAGCTGTTTCATAAAACAATGCATATTAACATAAGCTAAATAAAATGATGTAGCATCTGGAAATGCTATGTTACATATTTAAGAATTATCTAAGTATAAAATAGTTTAAGCAGCTCCCACCATTACAGACAGTTTAGCTGAGGAAATGCTCCTGACTAATTAAGAAGAAATACACACAAAAAAGAAAGGTATGTGGACCAAAATAAACACAGGACAGTGAAAAAGAACTGTCCAATAGAAAAAGGATTAGCATATAGAAAGGGAGGATACCTAGGATTCAAAAAAAAATCTTTCAAGCTCTCCTTTATTTGTCTTTTTTTCTGTATTCCAACTGAAAATACAATGAATCCTTTTAAAAGGCTCTAAAATGTCAATTTCCCCTTCAATCTGTCTAACTAAATCATCTAACTAGCACAGGTTTTCCAGTCATTGCCCTGTTAGAGTCCTTTTTAGGATCCGTAATTAAGAGGTTCAAAAAATGTTGAGAGACATTTTATTATTGGGTAATAATCTGATGATCATATAATTATTCTGAGAAAATTAAAGGCTGAATTTGTGCAGAAAGAATCTCCATGAATAAAGACAAGGAGAATGGACTTTATTTTAAAAGGAAGGAGTGAGTTTCTCTATTTAATATATATATATATATTTTGTGTGTGAGGAAGATCAGCTCTGAGCTAACATCCATGCCAATCCTCCTCTTTTTTTTTTCTTTTTTTTGCTGAGGAAGACTGGCCCTGGGCTAACATCTGTGCCCATCTTCCTCCACTTTATATGGGACACCGCCACAGCATGGCCTGACAAGTAGTGCACAGGGGCGAGCTCAGGATCCGAACCCCTGGCCACCAGCAGCGAAGCGTGCACACTTAACCACTACACCACGGGGTCAGCCCCAAATATATTTTTAAGTAAAGCGTAGTAATGGTAAAATCAGTCAAACAATAAAATCACTACAGGAAAAAACTCTCTTCTACCTATAATGCCCAGTCTCCCACTTCTCTCAGACAACTACCATTAGTAGTTTTTTGCATTTCCTTCCATAAATGATCTATGCTTATGTAAGCATATATTTATATTGGAAGGAGTTATGTCAGAACACAAGACTTCTGAAAAGAATCAAATTTGATGATCCATTATATTGTTAAAAAACAATTTCAGTTTTACCACATCCTTTGCTTATAAATGACTAGCAAAGAAATGATTTCTAACTAGAAAGAAAGTGTCCCGTGCTTGATATTCATGGAAAAGAAGTTCCTTTCTATTGCTTTATACTTTATGACAACCCAAATGGCAGTTGTCAGAAATTATGTTCAGCTTTAAGATGTGATTTATTGAAATAGAAGAAGAGCTGGTGAAATGGAGCAAGCAAGTCATTAGAGGTGGACAAAATGCAGAGGATATTAAGAAACAATGTACATTCCACAAGAATGAAAGATTTCTACTTACATCTTATCTAAATATTTATTCACATCTTCATCTTTTTCATAATCCTTACACAGTTGGGCAACCAGAGCCCCATAGGTGAGGACAAAGAGATCTTTGTTCTGGAGAAAAAGGGATAGTTTTATGTTATAGGCGAAGTTACAAACAATACGTTACTCTATTTCTTTTTTACAAAATTTCTAGTCGGAAGCAGATTTTGAGATCATCTGTTCATATTTCTACCCTCCTTCTAATTATTGCCACAAATTTCACTTTTAAGAACAAATTGTACCCATATTTTGGAGGGGTACATATTTGGAGGGGGAGGGAGCTGTGGAATAAAATAAATTTCTTAACATGAGAACATTTTTCTATGCATTTGCTTACATTACATAACTTGCAGTGTATTTTCGTGGAAGAAGTTTTTTAAAAGAATACTAATTGCTGATATAAATTTCTAATGTTCTAAAATGGCCTTTGGTATATGCTGACCATGTTTTCAGTTGAAAGAAATAACTAGGTGAGACTTCTCACGAACCTGTACCATCCCTAACGAATTCCAGATCTGCCAAGGAGACCACAGGATGAATCCAACTGTAGCAGCAAATTCGTGAGATTTTTCTTTTCTTTATACTTTGAGAAAAAAGGAGAATTTGCACTTTCCTTATAGACCTCCCAAATATGTCCTATTTTCAGAATGAATTAAAAATGAAAACTAAAAGTAAGAATAATATAGGTTTGGTTTAGCATAGATAGGTTGAAAATATGGGAAATAGAAAACACAAAGGTCCATGAATCTATTTTTAAAAATCTCTCTGTTTTGCTTCTGCTATTGAATTCTACTTAAGTAAGGGAAGGGGATATGAGAGATAATTTATTCCAATGCTCTCAGTCCTACAGAGGAGGGAATGAAGCCTCAGGAGGACTGAGTGACTTGCTCAACTAGCCAGCAACTGTCAGAGCCAGGACGGAGCCTGAGACAGCAGGCTGCGCTCTGACATGGCAATTATCTCCGAGGTGCACACACAAAAAAGCAGTGTTTGGAGTAGAGGTGGGCGGGAGAGGGAGGTAGGAAGGGGAACCCACTGTTGAAAAAATGTTATTTTGTGCATAATCTTGTATTTTCATGAGAGGTCAAATGTAGATTACAGGTTAGAAGAGGTGTCCTTACCTCTAGACCCAGCTATCTTGGGTAGCCTAACATGGAGGGGAAGATAAGGCTTGATAACATGTATTCAATTTTTTTTTTTCCAAAGCATGGGCAGAAATGGTTCAACAAACCAATAAAATTGTTTATTCAACAAAATGGCTTCTATAAAATGTTATACAATGTTGATCCAAATACTTCCAAAATTGGCCCGTTACCACCAGTATCCACTCCCTTATAAATGGGCTTATAGCGTAACAAATATATTTCTTTAATCAGGTAGAATATTTATTATAACAAGACAAGTTTTAAATGGATAGAATCTAAATGGTACATGGCAGGTATGGACATAATTTATGTTGGAAAATATAAATCAAAATATTATAAATGTGTGTAGATATATATTATATACGTTAATTGACATTACATTAAGGACACTAATATGTACAAAATAGGAAAAATATATAGAAAAATAATTCTAGTCTTATTTAAATCTTTCAAGAACCTAATCATAAATCATAAGAAATGTCTGTAAATTATACATGATATATCTACAGCATAAAAATAAGCAAAGATGAAGGAGACAGAGAAAGAGAGAGAGAGGAGGGTGAGAGAGTGATAATGTGATTGTTGCCACTAGCAGTAAAAGAAAAGAATTAGAAAAAGAGAGAAAAGGAGATCAAGTTTGCCCTACCCACATGCCATAACCTCAGCAGTGTGCCCATTTATAACGGAGACCAAACTGAAATCACAGCATTTTCTTCTCTCTCTCTCATTCTGATGGGTGGATACTAACTATATTTTACTTTCAGCTGAGTTTCAAGTTTAGTACCCATAAAAGCCAGTTTTCCCCATTCTGCCTCATGGCCAAAGGCTCTACCTTGAACTACACGTCCAGTAGGGTCTCAAATCCATACCATTGATCACAGGAAAGGTCAACATAAGTTTTTATCTTCACAGTTTATAAAACAATAAAAAACAGTCATTTTCATATATGAAAAATAGTGCACCACTAATTAATTCAAGAAGTTTTGGATATATCAGGATAAAAATATGTTTTAACTGGTATACAAATCAAGTGATTTAGGTGCAATATGAACTATGTACAATATTTTTTAGCATTTGAGAGCCCCATATACAAATAAATCAACATCCCGGGATGCCAGAGGAGGCATCTGTAGGCATTCCCAACTGAGGTGTGCTAGTTAGTCACATAATTCTATACCTATGGCTGAAATTAACTTAATTTTATCCAATGCCCATCAGTATCCTGAAATAATTAAAGGAGCTTTAAACTTAATGATGAGTTTTCACATCTGTAACTTGTGAATGCCTAAAACTATAATGAGAGGATTAAAGAAGAATATGTATCCAAATCTAATCTGCAAATAATTAGGTTTTAAAAGTACCTCTGAACTTGGAACATAGAGAAAGGATAATAGCTTATACCAAATTACAATAATAAACACATTTAAGACAAGGAAATATATTTTTAAATACAATCTCTTAATACTGAGTTTTTTAATGATCTATTCCTATTCAATTTAACACATAATCAACTATTTTATATACATTCATTTCCTATTTCATGAAGTATGAAATACAAAGAATTACAAGTATGAAACACAAAGCATTGCTAAATCTTTTCATATTTTCTGTCAGAGACAAAAGAAAAATTTGACACTTTTATAGATCTAATTAGTCAGAAAAGAAGACTCTAAAAGGGCTGCCCAGTGGCAAAGTAGTTAAAAGGTCACACGTTCTGCTTCAGTGGCCCGGGGTGCACCAGATCGGATCCTGGGCCCGCACCTATTCACCACTCATCAAGCTCTGCTGAGGCAGCGTCCCACATGGAAGAACCAGGACCTACAACTAGGATATGCAACTATGTACTGGGGCTTTGGGGAGAAAAAAGAAAAAGAGGAAGATGGGCAACAGATGTTAGCTCAGGACAATCCTCCTCCTCGAAAAAAAAGAAGACCCTAAAATATGTATAAGAATCGATTACTCTGCTACAGTATGTAAGAGATCATTGTAACTATTCCCGGAGGTGTCATTCATGATTTCCTCCACTAAAGACTCCCTTGCTCCACTGAAAAACATCTACTCATAGTGTAACCTTTCAAATTAAATCAGAAATCATTTAAGAAAACATTTTCTCTGAAGTAGAAAAAAAATCTCTTTGAGAATATGTTTATAAAAAGATCTTACTATTTTACGGTATTCTGGTCTTCTGTGTGCAGGGCGAGACATAGTGCTGGATAGATGAAGAAGTATTCTTCGATTTCTTTTCTTTGGCTTTTACCTTAGAGGGGTATCAGCCTTTGTCCTTTTGTTTGGTTTTTGCAAGTTCCTTCTTGTTTTGAGACACGAGTGCTACTTCTGCACTCTACCGCTTTTGCTCTTTGCTGAACTGAAGAGGAAAACAATCATCCACAGAACCATCTTATAGCCTCATATAGCCTCGTACCTTGCCACTGATCACATCCTGCTTCACTTGTGGGGATGAGTTCCAATCTAGAGGCATAAAAGCCAATAGTGGGAAGTCAGACCAGAAGCACCAGCTACTGAAAATTCGTTAGCCCAAGGGAGTATAAGAGTGGTGTTTTGTTCTCCTGCCAAGGCATTGTTTTAAAATCACAAACAGAAACCTTCACAGTCCAAGATAGATCTAAAGGTTCGCATTATTCAGTCTTCATATTGATTGTTGTGTGAATTCCAGACAGGATCAGCAATCTATAGGCACTAAATCTTGGGTTCAAATCTGATCAACAATTCTAACGGCTATCACATTATCCCCCAAATAATGGGTATCACAGACCCCCATTTTGTGTTTTTCTAAAATCCAAATATATCTGGTACCTTTTTTTTTTCCCCATAAGCAGCAATTTTAAGGAATGATAGAATTTGGGTGCTGATATTTTCTCATAAAACTGTTGCTCAAAATGGGTGTTCTATAGTTTAATAATGTATAATGATTCTGGCAGAGAAAGCAAGGGCTTGGCTTTCTTCTGATAATTCCTGAGATGTCAGCTCTTGAAAGCTCTCTTTATGCAGAAGTACAGATAAAGTTTAAACAAGGAACTGTCTCATCTTGACAACTGCAGGGTGTGGAGGATCAAAGCTGTTCCAGGAATAGAAGCATAAAACTCGATTTAAGAAAGTAGTTTCTTACTTCTTACAGCTTGAGTCAATTAGCCCTAGGTGTTCTGGAAAATTCTTGCTATAAAGTGACAGACTTCTGGCTATTTTGAAGAAGAGTGTGGTGTAGTTGAAAGAGCCTAGGAGGATTTGGAAATCTCAGGCTAAGCCACAGCCATTTACTGGCTGTGTGACCTCAGGTAAGCCATTTTATTGCTCTGTGGCGCAGTTTCCACATCTATGAAATGGCAATAATAATACCCACCTCACGGAATAATGGTGAGTATCAAAGAGATATGCATGCTATAAAACACATTATAATGCTCTAGAAACACTAATTACTATAGATTATCCTTGTAGGTGAATATATTGAATAGAATTCTACAGTATTTAAGGTATTTCCATTAGTGCCTATGTTCAATGACACCATTATCAGGAAAATCAGTTTTGCTGGGTGGTAGGGTGTGAGGGGCTTTCCGGCAGATTAATAACACCTTATATTTGTATAAACTTTACAGTTTACAACATGGTTTTCATTTTCTTTATCTCATTTTAATTCAGCTACTATCTGTGAAGTAGTCAGTACTGTAATCATTACCATTTTATAGGTAGGAACTTAAAGTCAGAGAGGTTAAGAAATTTGTTCAAGGTTAGCTGGATAGTAGGCAACAAAGAGGGATTTGGGCTAAATTCGCTGACTCCAAATCAAAAACCTTTTTTCTATTGCATAAACTCTAATTATGATAGAGCAAAATATTTTAGAGGTAGACTCACAAAAGTTATTAAGGTATGGTGACAGCATGTTGCTGGGCCTAGTTTGGGAGCAATTCTGGGTTCTGGATGAGAGATCACTGAGAAAAACATCAAAAAGGCCTGTGTACTTGGTGGGAGGGGAGTGCTGGTACAGAAATCGATTTCACTCAACTCTAATGGCTGTGGTATGGTGACATCAGGGCCACCATGAGAATTCAGGACATCATGGGTACATTAGAAAAGCCAGCTCTTCTTCTGGACCTATGAGTCTCCCTCTGTCTCCTGCCCCTGGACCCAGGACCACAGGGCTTACGGAAGGAGTCTCTGCTGGGCACCATCCTACAAAAGCACAACCTGCCGAAGTATAGCAGTAGGCACTGGCTGGGACCCTGGTTTGCTTCTTTCCAGCCTGTGAAACCCACTTGCCTTTAGCAGCTCTTATGATGGGAGTGAGCCTTGTATTCCCCAGCCTCCTTACTTTTATGAAAAACTGCCCTTCACTTAAATAGAAGAAAGCATACAGGTTATGTTTCTAACAGGTAGATTATCTATAATGTCTGCTCTCGCAACAAACTAGGAAAAAACATTTCAAAATAATGCAGAAGAGTTTTTCCTCTTATTTTTAAAATTATTTTAATTTTTTTACTTTACTGAGGTCATAATAGTTTATAACATTGTAAAATTTCAGTTGTATATTATTATTTGTTAGTCACCATATATATGTGCCCCTTTATCCCTTGTGCTCACCCTCCAACCCCCTTCCTCTCTGGTAACCACTAATCTGTTCTCTCTATCCATGCATTTATCTTCCACATATGAGTGAAATCATACAGTGTTTGTCTTTCTCTGTCTGGCTTATGTCACTTGACATAATACCCTCAACGTCCATCCATGTTGTTGCAAATGGGATGATTTTGACTTTTTTATGGCTAATATTCCACGTGTATATATACCACATCTTCTTTATCCATTCGTCAGTTGATTGGTACTTGGGTTGCTTCCACAACTTGGCTATTGTGAATAATGCTGCAACAAACAGAGGGATGCATAAGACTCTGAATTGTTTATTTCAAATTCTTTGGATAAATACACAGTAGTGGGATAGCTGGGTTGTATGGTATTTCTATTTTTAATTTTTTGAGAAATCACCATACTGTTTTCCATAGTGGTGGAACCAGTTTGCATTCCCATCAGCCGTGTATGAGGGTTCCCTTTTCTTCATGTCCTCTCTAACATTTGTTATTTACTTATTTTTCTTTTGTGAGGAAGATTAGCCTTGAGCTAACATCTGTTGCCAATCTTCCTCTTTTTGCTGAGGAAAAATGGCCCTGACCTAACATCTGTGCCCATCTTCCTCTATTTTATACGTGGGACGCCTGCCACAGCATGGCTTGATGAACGATGTGTAGATCCATGTCCAGGATCTAACCTGTGAACCCCAGGCCGCCAAAGCAGAGCATGTAAACTTAACCACTACGCCACTGGGCTGGCCCCAACACTTGTTATTTTTTGTCCTGGTAATTAAGGTAAAAACTCGTTGTAGTTTTGATTTGCATTTCCCTAATAATTCGTGATTTTGAACATCTTACCATGTGCCTGTTGGCCATCTGTATACTTTGGAATAATGTCTGTTCTATCATCTGCCCTTTTTTTGATCAGGTTGTTTGTTTTTTTGTTGTTGAGTTATATGAGATCTTTATATATTTTGGAGATTAACCCCTTGTCAGATACATGATTTGCAAGTATTTTCTCCCAGTTAGTGGTTTGTATTTTCATTTTGTTCCTGGTTTCCTTTGCTTGACAGAAGCTTTCTTGTCAGCTTTAGTCCCATTTGTTTATTTTTTCTTTTGTTTCTCTTGCCTGAGTAGACACAATATTCAAAAAGATCCTTCTAAGACCAATGTCAAAGAGTGTACTGCCTATATTTTCTTCTAGGAGTTTAATGGTTTCATATCTTACCTTCAAGTCTTTAATCCATTTTGAGTTAATTTTTGTGTATGGCAAAAGATAATAGTCTACTTTCAAACTTTGCATGTGGCTGTTCAGTTTTCCCAACACCATTTATTGAAGAGACTTTCCTTTCACCATTAAATGTTAGCTCCTTTTGTCGAAGATTAGCTGTTGGTAGATGAGTGGTTTTATTTCTGGGCTTTCAATTCTGTTCCATTGATCTGTATCTGTTTTTGTACCAGTACCATGCTGTTTTGATTTTTATAGCTTTGTAGTATATTTTGAAGTCAGGGATTGTGATGCCTCCAGCTTGTTCTTTTTTCTCAGGATTTCTTTGGCTATTTGGGGTCTTTTGTTGTCCCATATGAGTTTTAGGATTCTTTGTTCTATTTCCATGAAGAATGTCATGGGATTGGGATTTGGATTGGGACTACATTGAATCTGTAGATTACTTTAGGTAGTATGGACATTTTAACTATGTTTATTCTTCCAATCCATGTGCATGGGATATCTTTCCATTTCTTTATGTCATCATCTATTTCTTTCAATAATGCCTTATGGTTTTCATTGTATAGGTCTTTCACTTCCTTGGTTAAATTTATTCCTAGATATTTTATTCTTTTTGTTGCAATTGTCAATGAGATTGTATTCTTGAGTTCTTTTTCTGTTAGTTCGTTACTAGAGTATAGAAATGCAACTGATTTTTGTAAGTTGATTTTGTACCTGCAACTTTGCTGTAGTTGTTGATTATTTCTAATGGTTTTCTGATGGATTCTTTAGGGTTTTATATATATAAAATAATGTCGTCTGCAAACAGTGAGAATTTCACTTCTTCCTTGTCAATTTGGATGTCTTTTATTTCTTTTTCTTGCCTAATTGCTCTGGCCAAAACCTCCAGTACTATGTTGAATAAGAGTGGTGAGAGTGGGCACCCTTGTCTTCTTCCTGTGCTCAGAGGATGGCTTTCAGTTTTTCCCTGTTTAGTATGATGTTGGCTGTGGGTTTGTCATATACGGCCTTTATTATATTGAGGTGCTTTCCTTCTATACCCATTTTATTGAGAATTTTTATCATAAATGAATGTGGGATGTTGTCAAATGTTTTCTCTACATCTATTGAGATGACCATGTCGTTTTTATTCCCCAATTTGTCAACGTGGTGTATCACATTGATTGGTTTGTGGATGTTGAACCATCCCTGCATCCTTGGTATAAATCCCACTTGATCATGGTGTATGATTCTTTTAATGTATTGCTGTATTTGGTTTGCCAATATTTTGTTGAGGATTTTTTCATCTATGTTCATCAGCAATATTGGACTGTAACTTTCCTTCTTTGTGTTGTCCTTTTCTGGCTTTGGGATCAAGGTGATGTTGGCCTTGTTGAATGAGTTAGAAAGTGTTCTGTCTTCTTCAATTTTTTTGAATAGTTTGAGAAGGATGGGTATTAAATCTGATTTGAATGTTTGATAGAATTCTCCCGAGAAGCAATCTGGTCCTGGATTTTTATTTTAGGGGAGGTTTTTGATTACCGTTACTATCTCTTTACTTGTGATTGGTCTATTCAGATTCTCTATTTCTTCTTGATTCAGTTTTAGGAGATTGCATGACCCTAAGAATTTAGCCATTTCTTCTAGATTGTCTAATTTGTTGGCATATAGTTTTTCATAGTATTCTCTTATAATCCCT